CGGCACAGGAAATGTTCAATGTTTTAAAAGCAGTAACAATGATTTAATGCATTTGTGCCCTTAGGGTTATAGAAATCCTTCACTTAAAACATTACCAACGCTGGATCATAGGACCGCTATTACTACAGTGCCATTGTACTTTTCAGCGGTATCGAAAGATAGACAGCTCTGATTGGGAGCCATCCCTCCTCACCTTTGTTTTTCTGTTTAAACCTATATCAGGTCTGGCTGGGATGGAGTTAATTTTGCCCACAGCAGCCCTCCTAGTGCTGTGCTGTGTAATGGTAGCTAGAAAGGTGTTGATTACACACCTCCACAGCACCAAGGCTGTCTCCCCAACATCTCCCCACCCCAAAGGCCAGCAGGCTGGGGGTGGGCAAGGCCTTGGGAGGGGAGAGAGCCAGGACAGCTGACCCCAACTGACCAAAGGAGAGATTCCATACCGTATGATGTCTGCTCAGCAATAAAAGCTAAGAGAAAGCTGGGGGCGGGGGGGCATTTGTTATTATGGCATTTGTCTTCCAGAGCAACCACTACGTGTACTGAAGCCCTACTTCCCAGGAAGAGGCCGGACATCACCTGCTGATGGGAAGTGGAGAATAAAATCTATAGTTTTCCTTTGCTTCCACACACAGCCTTTACTTTTGCTGTATTAAACTGCCTTTATCTTGAACCACGAGTTCTTTTCCATCTTATTTTCTCTCCCCTCTGTCCTGCTGAGGAGGGAAGTGATAGAGGGGCTTGGTGGGCACCTGCCATCCAGCCAAGGTCAACCTACCATGGTCTTTTTTGGTACTCAACATAGGGACCAAGACAACACCAGTTTTGTATTAAGTGTGCTATAGTTACAGTAGTTATTAAGTGGCAAACTTCTGTGTGGGTCACAGTGTTGGCTGCACTGCCTATCTCTTTATTTTGATGAGATTGGGAACAAGCTTGACTGGGGGAACCCTACCACCCAGGAATCCTGGAAGAGATCATGGACTGGGCAGAGGTTTTGGAGCACTGCCTGAGGACGTGGCTCATGCTGAAGAGGCACCACCATATGACTTATCAGAAGATGAAAGGTGTTATGTTTTGTTCACTGATGGATCCTGTCACGTTGTAGGAAACCATCAGAAGTGGAGTCATGCATGACAAGCCATTGAAGCCACTGAAGGATAAGGTGAGTCAAGTCAGTTTGCAGACGTGCAAGTCCTAGAGGCTGCTGAATGGCAAAAGTGGCCAGTACTCTATACTAACTCCTGGATGGGGATCCCTATGGGGGGTGGCTACAGCAGTGGAAGACCAGTCGGCAGCACAGGGGTAAACTCATCTGGGCTGCTGCATTGTGGCAGGACAGCACTGCCTGGGTAGAAAACACCACTCTAAAGGTACACCGTATTGATGCTCACAGGCCCAAAAGCCACACCACTGAAGAACATGAAAACAATGAAGACAAGGCTGTCAAAATTGAACTAGACCAGGTGGACCTGGACTGGGAGTGTAAGGGTGAGCTATTTGTATCTTGATGTGCCCACAAAATATCAGGAGATGGTTTCATGATCGAAGGGTGGACTTGACCATGTAGGCAATCACACAGGTCACTCATGAATGTGAAACATGTGCCTCGATCAAGTGAGCCACAAAAGTCTCCCTGGAATAGACGGCGGTGGCCAGGTTTTCGATATGATGAGGCCCGGCAAGTTGACTATATTGGACCACTGCCATGAACACACCAAGGAAAGTGCTACATACTCACCATGGTGGAAGCAACTACTGGTTGGCTAGAAACATATCCTCTAAACTATGCCACTGCCCAAAACACCATCTTAGGCCTTGAAAGGCAAATTTTGTGGCAACATGGTACCCCAGAAAGAATTGAATCAGATAATGGAACTCATTTCTGAAATAACCTCATGAACCTCTGTGCTAAGAGACAGCGCATTGAGTGGGCGTATCACTCACAAGCCTCTGGAAAGACTGAGAGCTATAATGGACTGTTAAAGACTACGTTGAAATTGTTGGACAATGGGGCATGGAAGCACTGGGATGTAAATTTAGCAGAAGGCTGGTTAACACCAGAGGATCTGCTAAATGTCCTGGTCCCACCCCTGCATACTGTGGGAGGAGATAAGGTCCCATGATGCAGTAAGGAAGTGGTTGGGGAAGGTGGTGTGAGTTGCTCCTCCCTTAAGAAAAGGCAAACCCATTCTTCACTTAAGGACCTGGGTGTACTTAGTGGCTAATGGGGAAGGATGGGGAGACCTGGTGTATGCCTTAAGGAGATTTAACCTTGGGAGAAAAATAACCTGTGATGTGAGTTGTATGTTGTAGGAAGTAATGTAGCAGGAATGACCTGAACCAAGGAAGAATGAGTTTTGCAAGGAACCAGGCGAGCACAGCAATGACCCAAAACAGGCCAATGTTGGTGCCCCACCAATCGGACATGCTGCTTCTCCTGTCTTGAGCACCCATCTTGAAAGATGGGCCTCAAGTCATAGCCTGGTTTTATGAACACTTGGAGGAGTGGAGGAAACCCATGGAATGGGAGAATAATATCTATCTGTTAAAGGACAGGGGATAATAGTTAATGAGAATGTATAAATCTGTATGTGGGGTATAAAGATGTTTAAGTATATAGTATAAGTTGTAGGTGTTGGTAAGAAGTAGTCCTCATTCCTTGTCATCATCTAGTTGCCTGTAAGGAATGTGCTGAAGCACTTAATAAATGCCCTTTGTGTTGTACAAATATTATGAAAAGACAGGAAATTTTTATGTATTAGTGAAATATACAGTAATGTGGATGCAAACGTTTCCTGCTTTATTGCTCTTATACGTGTAGTGCAGTAACAGACGGTTGGGTGTTTGGCAGTCTAGCACACATATTTATGGAGCATCTCACTTTAGGGATAATGTAAGCAATAAAGCTTTAATCAGCACCCTGAAATATGAGTTGACTGTCAGAAGCTGCTAGATTTTTGTGTTTATAACACTCGTATTCAACTGCCTCCTTCTTACTCTCCTTACTTTTTGTGGTTTTACTTCGAAGTTGTAACCTAAAATAACTATTGCTGTATGCGCAGACCTCCTATTTCTATGAGTGTTCACACTTATATTAATGTACTATAAATACAGAAGTTAAAAAAATACTTTGCCATAAAATTGTATGGGAAAACTGTATATTCTGATTGAGTAGCAGTGATGCTGCATTTTTTTCCTCACTGTATCAGGTCTGGCTGGGATGGAGTTAATTTTGCCCACAGCAGCCCTCCTAGTGCTGTGCTGTGTAATGGTAGCTAGAAAGGTGTTGATTACACACCTCCACAGCACCAAGGCTGTCTCCCCAACATCTCCCCACCCCAAAGGCCAGCAGGCTGGGGGTGGGCAAGGCCTTGGGAGGGGAGAGAGCCAGGACAGCTGACCCCAACTGACCGAAGGAGAGATTCCATACCGTATGACGTCTGCTCAGCAATAAAAGCTAAGAGAAAGCTGGGGGGGGGGGGGGAGGGCGAGCATTTGTTATTATGGCATTTGTGTTCCAGAGCAACCACTACGCGTATTGAAGCCCTACTTCCCAGGAAGAGGCCAGACATCACCTGCTGATGGGAAGTGGAGAGTAAAATCTAAAATCTTAAAATCTTTAGTTTTCCTTTGCTTCCACACACAGTCTTTCCTTTTGCTTTATTAAACTGCCTTTATCTTGAACCACAAGTTCTTTTCCATCTTATTTTCTCTCCCCTCTGTCCTGCTGAGGAGGGAAGTGACAGAGCAGCTCAGTGGGCATGTGGCATCCAGCCAAGGTCAACCCACTACAAAACCTCTCTTGTATTTTTAGTCAAGTAATAAGCTGGTACGAAGACAGCCAGGCCAGGAGGACCGAGGGAGTTACAGAGCCCGTCATTTCCAGGCTGTTTGTCTAACCCTGCTTGCGCAGTACCATTAACATGTGATTGATGGTGCTTTGAAACATTTTCCTGGTAACCATCCAGCTGCAATTGGCCAGTGTCTGCATCAGAGAAACCACTGTCACACCTGGCAAAAGCTGTGCTTGCCCTCCTGTTTGCTCTCCAGAAAACAGCAAACAGGTGAACACACGTGTACAGTGAACCACCATTCCTCCCACCCATTTTTGGCTGGGCTCATCACCTGGTTCCTCTCCCCCTCGGTTCTCTGGTGTCATTTTAAACCTACAAGACCCATCGGCTCAAAACTGGGTCCATGCCAGGCAGCCACCACCGCTGTGGTGTGACAGGTTTTCAGCCCTGCCGATGCGATCTGTTCCGCTCCAGAATTTCTCACGAAATCCTCCAGCAGCCACAACCCAGCCCCGGGGAACAGCCCAGGTAGGGTTCCCTTTTGCAAGCAGAACACACCACAGGCTGAGCGAGGGAGCTTGTGCCCTTTACTTTTGCAGAAGCTGCTTCTGCAAATAAAGCTTGGGAGAGGTAAGTTTTCTGAGGAGCTTTTACTCTTTCTCGCAAGCTGCCAGGGAAGGAGGGAGCCTCCCCACAGCACGCCGCCGAACCACCACCTCCTTCCACGCCCCGGCCACCCTGAAGAGACCCATGTCGCTGCACGAGGCTCCAAGGGAAAGCTCGTCCCACCAGAACCCGGACACAACTCCCGTCAGTCAGACCATTTCCTCCGCCGCTCTGACAGCGCACGGCCCCCGGCGGCGCCTTGTCTACCACAGGGAACACAATGGCGGCCGACCAGTTTTCCGTGTTTGGTTTTTTGTTTTTTTTTTTTTTCCCTCCATTTTTTTTCTCTTAAACCCACGCAAAGAACAACGCGCAGGTGGAGGAGAAAGCTCCGGCCGCGTGACGGAGAGCCCCCTGCTCTGCTGGGGCACCCGCTGACGTCGCCCGTGACGGAGGAGCCGCACCGGGCACGCGGCCGCACCCAGCGCGGTTTCCCGCCCCGCGCCGCGCGCCCCCCGCCCCCGGCGCGCGCCGCCCACCCCTCCGGAGCGGGGCGGGAGCGCGCGCGCGCGCGGTCACCTGACGCCGCCGCCGCCGCGGCAGCCGCCATTTTGTCTGGGAGTGTAAATGTGAAAGGGAAAGCCGGAGCGCAGCCCGCGGAAGGAGGCAGTGGGGAGCGGGGCCGGGCGCGGCCAGCCGTGCCGGCGGGGCTGGGAGGCGAGGCGACGCCGCCGCCGCGTCCCCGAGCACCGGGAAGAGCCTCCCCCCCCCCTCCCCCTTCCCTCCTCCTTCCCTCCTGTCGCTGCCGCGGCGGCGGTCGAGGGGAGCCGGTGAGGCGGAGCCCGGCGAGGACTCTCCGCTCGCCCTCGCCGCACCGGAGGGGGCTGCCGGCGCCCTTCCCCCGGGGAGGCTGCGCTCGCCCCCCGCCTGCCCCGGCCTTGCTGCCCGCCGCGGCGGGTGCGCGGGGGGGGAGCCGCCGCCCGGGCCGCACCAACGATGTCGGGGCAGTCGATCACCGACCGCATCACGGCGGCGCAGCACAGCGTCACCGGCTCGGCCGTCGCCAAAGCTGTCTGCAAGGCGACGACCCACGAGGTGATGGGCCCCAAGAAGAAGCACCTGGACTGTGAGTAGGACCCCGGGGGCCTGGGACGGGCCGGGGGCGGGGGGGGGTGGGGGTGTGCTCTGCCCTCCTGCTGCGGGCGGCGGAGAGGGGAGAGCCGAGCGCGGGCCGTGTCGCGTAAAGCTGGGTGAACCTGGCTGCTTTCCTCCTCAAAACTTATTTTACACGTGGAGGGAGTGAGCTTTGTAACACCCTGTCGCGCCCGGGGAACAAAAATATTGCAACCTTGTGAACTCTTCCCCAGGAGAGCGTCTTAGTTTGCGCGCTCGGGATGCGGTAGTCCTTATTAATCCAGCATCTGGGGAGAAGGTGGGTTAAGCGGTGTGCTCTTACTGTTGAGAGCGAGAAGCTAAATTTGTAAGCACTCTTCCATCCTGTGCATCTGGTGGAGTGCAGCCGTTTAAATATTTTTAACGTTTCCTGAAATACCATAGCTTTCTGTCTTAGAGCTCTTGAAACGAGGTAAAAAGACTTGAATCGAGGTAAAGGGAAGGTGGACAAATACATCTCTCCAGAATGAGAGTATGTTGCCGCTGATATATTTAAACTTACTGTGTTACAACTCCTTTCTGTATAACAAAAGATGCAGAAAGCTGCCCTTGATATCTACAAAAGTATCAGTGGTGTTACTTTGCTTCAGGTTTTAGTAATTGGATAGCAACTGAAGTTAGTTTGCTCAAAAGTGCACTGTATGCTTCAAACCTTGTACGCAGTGCAGTTTACCTGTTCACTGTCTATTAAAAGTGAAGTAAGCGTGTTTGTTTCCATGAGGGAAAGGAAAGAAGACATGAAGCTTTATGCTGGTTTCTTCAAAGTCAAGGGAGCAGGCTGGTAGTTTTGTAGGACTTGTTCAAGTTGGTGGTACTAAGGGGAGTCTGCTGTTCAAGATTTTGGAAGAAGTTGAACTTAGTTACATTGTTTGAGAATAGTTTGGCTCTCTGGCACTACGGTACTAGTCTGTTAATACAGACCTCTTGTGTGAGAGCTTTTGATGTGGATCAAAGAGTTTAAAACAACCCAATGTATATCTTTATTTGTTATTGATCTGAACGAGTGGAATCCAGCTACAGTAGTGAATATTGCAGCCACTGTGTTGAAATTAAAAACCTTAGAACTCGGTAACTGACAATTTGGGTTTTTTAAAGATATCTTTTAAAAGTTAATTTATTTTATCTTGTCTTGTGTTCTGCCTGTGGTAGAACAACTTAGTGAGGTAACCCTTAAGTCCAGAAATAGCAACATAACAGGAAGCCAAAAAGTGGTGACAGTTTGCTCAATAGTTTGAAAGCTGCTGAAGCTTAAAAGGTGTGTATTGTTTGAAAATACCTTAAAGTAATGTCATCTACTGTAAGTTACCCTCACAATATAAGAAAATGGAGACCTGGAAAAACTTTTGAGAATAGCATAGACTGAAATTGCCCTTTGACTGTAAAATTCCTTTGAATGTCTTTTGATACAAACCTGTTGACTTGTCAGTCTCCTGAAGGTCCCCTTCTGTGCCAAATGAGTTCTGTGTTTTCATGTAATTCACTTTCTGAGAATTTGGTCTAAGACAAACAAAGAGCTTGTTGTTCCAATCTGGTATCTGAAATAGAGGAATGTGTCGGTGGGGTGGGGAAAAGATGTGAAATATGGTACCACATACATATTTGTAAGGGGTTACAAAAAAATACTGATGAACATTCTCCAGTCTTCATTGAATATACCCAAGTGTTGCTTTTCAAACATCTGCAAGCTTTTGTGTGACACTTCTTATTTTTTCACTTATACATAAAACTTACTTGTAATAAATGCAAGAAGGTAAGGCTAGTTTATATACTGTGATCTCTGGAGAAATCACACAGTGTATTTTCAAAGATACGGTGCGAGTACTTTCCAATTTAAGTAAATTATGAAGGAAACTTTAATGCAAAACACTGCTAGTTGCACTTTGGTTGCTACATGTGTGTGTCATTCAAAACGCTACACCATCTGGTATTACTTGTAATTGCTGCTCAAGGAAAAGCTTCACCAAGAACATGTTTCTGAGAGCTGTTGAAGTTGCATCAGGGATTGTGGAGGAGTATCAGTTTGTGCACTCTATTCAGATTAATTCTTAAAATCCCCTTATTGTCAAGTTTCCTCGGCAAGAAAAACTAATATTACAATATGGATATTTATGGGAAGATGTTACATGTGCGGTGTGGTGAACCAGTATTTATGAGTCTTGGATTTTGTCCAGCTACTACCTGCTAAGTAATATAGTTCTGTTTTTCTTGGAGATGGAAAAAAACAAAACAAACAAAACCAAAACCAAAAAAACAAACAAAACCCCAAACCCATAAGCAATGTCAGTGGGAATACTTGGGGGTTTTCCTTTTAAAGTAGGTCAGTGTCCTAAATAAGTTGGCAGACCTATTTCTGTAGTATTTTGTGATATTTTAGGATAATATAAAATGTTATACAGAAGCTGATCTTTTCTCTTAATGGAGCACCTGAAAATCTTGTCTCTTTCCTCCCTGTGTGGGTTCTCGCCTCCTCTCAGCCTCTTGAGTTTGGGTTTCCGTAGAGTGGGGCTAGATGCTGCTTTTGGTGACATGTCTCTGCTTGGCTAACTATTGAAAAGCCATTATAATAATAATAATAAAAGAACAAATGAAAGCAGTAGCCAAATGGGTAACTGGCAGAGTAGACTTCTGCACAGACCAAAATTTAGAAAAATACAAACCCCTAAATTAATTGCATCTTAAACTTTTAAGTGAAAGTAGTAGTAAAGCAAAAAAACAAGCTCCTCTAACTTATATGCAGCCCACTTCAGAAGCACAGAGGAGGGGAAAGTAGTTAATGTTACTCATCAGAACTTAAAACTTCTGTACATATACAAGCTTTTGAAATTTTGTAAGAAGTGATAATTCAGGTACTACAAAATTGTGATATGTAACAGAATTAGGTTCTTAAGCCCTTTGCTTTAGGAGAAAGTTCAGATCTCACAAAATGATCACAGCAAGTTTTGCCAATAATGTGACATGGCTATCAGTTTTATGTCTTTTTTGTCACAGTTCTTAGGTAGAGCTCATGTCTGTGGAGTGAGTGCTGATGCAATGTGGTTCTTGCAGAGATAAATAAGTTGTGATGCAGTACAAATAAATACTCTTGAACTCTTCCCCAGGCAGTAAGGTGGCTGTCCTCAGTTTGAAGCTCTCTAGTAGAAGATTTTCAGTACTGTAATTGAGAAAATTTGACTTAAATAAAAAAAATAGTTAATAGTTTTGTAATCTATAAATGTGATTTTTATTTAGAATTTTTTTAAAGCTTTTTCGAAAACTTTATGGGCCATTATGTATCGTTGTTTAATGGGGAATGGGACAGAATAGCTGAATTGCTTTGCTTCTGATCAAGTAACTCTTAAGTTTCCTTTATATAACAGATAAATCTGAACTTAAGTATTGCTATTAAATCTGCACTATAAGAGCACATGGGCATAAAAATATTTATATCAGTCAGGTGCTATCTTTCAATTAAGTTTTCCAGCAAAAATTCTTGTGGTTTTTTTTTTTTTTGTTTTGTTTTTTTTACGACTGCCAGGGTAAGGAAAGTGGTCTTAATTCTTATATCGGTCTTAGAGCAGTTTCAGTCCTGTGAAAAAATGGAAGAAATGCAGGAATATTAAACCTTTAAGTTATGTATTTACAGTTCTCTTGAGAGAGATTCCTGAATCAAGAAAATTACGACTTTCCTGTTACTTGAAAGTTGAAAAGTGTTAGTTCTTGTAGTTTTTGTTAGTGCTTGGCTGAGAATTTGAGTAAAACCTGATTTTTTTTTTTTTTTTTTTTTTCCCTAATATCTGAATTTATGCATGTTGTTCTCTGAATCGCTGTATCATTTCATAGATGATGTGCCAGTATTTCAGTTGAGCTGTGGAAGAGAAATCCTAACACTCTTCTAGGCAGCAAGATTTCTACAGCTCTTCCAGGCTGCTTGAAAACCCCTATGGTACACTTAGAGTTTAAAGCGGTTTGTTTTTTTTTTTTTTTTTTTTCCCCTTTTTTTTCCTGTGTGATGCTAACATGTTTCTAAATTCCATTCTAGAAATAGCACTGCAGTTTCCCTTGCAGTTGAAATGATTCCTCTGGGTAATTGGCAAAATGCTTTGAGTTGTAAAGTGTTTGTATAAGTAGTGTGATAAGAAAATGAGCATCACTTGCCCTACACATTTCATTCCAGTTTTTGCTGCCAACATCCGTATTACAGTTGCCCAGCTGTCAGTCTCTCAGGTGCATGTGTTCCTTTATACTTCCAGATGTATGGTGTTAATAGCTTTCTCCTTTGCTGCCAGCTGTAACAGATCCATACAGTTGTTTCTATGTAGATATTCCCATTGGAGGCTTAGAAGAATCATATTAGAGTAATGACACTTGCTTTTTTTTATTTATCTCAATTATTAGAATTCAAATGTGATGATAGCTTTATTATTACTAGTTGTAAAATAATCATAAAAAGAATTGCCCTGAGTAGCCTTATTAAAGAGTCTTTTTAAGACACTATTAGGAATGTCCAGCTTTGGTCTATGAAATGCACTGGCGTTTTTTTCCACTACTCATTCTTAGTTTAGTGTTTTAGAGGTGTTTTGTTTGCCTAAGCGTGTGGTCTTCTGTACTGACAACTGTGGTTTATGTGTTTGTATATTTAAGGAGATTTTGAAGCCAAGGACCACAGTTGTGCTAAGTGCCCTCAATAAAAGTTGTCTTCAGGGGAGCCAGTATGTATTGTCTTCAGCATGTGTCTAAAGTGCACGAGACCTGCAGTTCACTCTGGCCCTCTAACCTCAAGCATAACTTGAATTAGACTCTGAGTAGTTGTACGTATGTGAAATATTTCCTCTTGGTTGCCCTTTAAAATGGTCAGGTTCACACCATACAGAAGCAAATAGCACATGCTGGAAAACCTTACTAGCACTTTTACAGAATTACTGGAACTGCACTTTTCAATCACATGGAACCACGCTTGTGGAATAAAACAGTAACACAAGCCTCTCAATTGCACCAGAGGTCTGTCAGCTTCCACTCCGTTACTGACACTTGATGGAAGACTTACTTTGTGTACCAAAGCAGAAGGCAGTTGCTCCCTTCTGAAGGTAGATGTCTGGATAGCTTTTTGTGGTAATAAACCTTTATGATGGCATGATAAAGCAACGCTTTTTTATGGACATGTGGCTTCAGGAGAGGTGATCAGTTACAGCATTCGATATAGTTGCTAACTGTAGGATTTCTGTCACGTTGTGCCTGAACAGCACTATAGGAACACATTTGATACCAGTCTTAGACATAAAATGTATTCAGGGGATCTCGCGGCTGTTCAGCGTCATCTTAGGGTCTACTGGTACATCTGCTAGTAGTAGACCTTAGCTCAAGGGAAGGTGACAAGAATGAAGTCTCTGTGGAGAGTGCTGGCAAAATATGAATGACGTTAGCTTGGCTAATTTGTCTTGAGAGCAGAAGGCTTTTTGTTTTTAACTTGGATCTTCCTTCCCAGTTTCATCTGTTATTTAGAAAGCACTCTTAATATTGAAAATCTTCAGTGAAAAATTTAACTTGCTCAGTGGTCACGTGAAGGGAAAGGACTTTGTGCAGAAGTAGTATTTTCAATAGGAAGTGTGGTCTTTGACCTTAACAGATCAATGGAATTTCTTTTAGCTGTTAAGTAGTAGTAATATTATTATTGTATTGAGTTTGGGAGGGGGTTGTTCGTTGTTTTTTTGTTCGATTGTTTTTTATAAACTGAGAATAGGACTTGTAACAGTTCTGTAACATTTCTGTGCTGGTTACAGACACTGCATTTATGTGAAGAATATTGAACAAGATCTAACAGCAGTGTCTTTAGTATGCTTGCTTATAAACTGATTTGATTTAGGAAGACTTATTTGCCTTAATGTGTTTTGAGATAGTTACTCAGAAATGTCATAACAAAGTTCTCATTCAGTAGATGAGACTGAATTAAAATTCAAATTTTCTCTCTTTAGAAATTCTGGAGTTGTGACTTACCCCATTATATGGGGCAATAATTGCCTATGGACTGTTTGGATTTCTAGAGGTTTTAAAGTACTTCTTAATATGATACAGCCATGAGTGGCGAGCAGTATATCAAATAACTTGTTTTTGAGAATCTACATGTTTGTAAATACTGCAATATTTTAATACTACTTGACAATAAGGTTTTGATGTGTAGCTTGCTTAAAACTTCTCAGAGTTCTTTTTGTGCAGTTATTTCAGCATTTTTGTGTTACTAATAAGGATGAAAGTTTTCATCCCAGCTTGTGTGTTTTGTATATATTTGGAAACCTTTGACATCAGAATTAAATTAGTAATTTATTAGAATTTGTGTTTTATAGCTTTCTACCTAGAAAAGATAGTATCTAAAATTCTTTGTTAAAATTACTCTGGTTATTAAATTACTCTAAACAGTGATGCTTAATCAAAGGACTTTATGTTCTTAATAAACAGATCTTTAATTAAGATACATCTGTAATATATTCTGTGCACTAGAACAGATATAAATTCTAAGTGCAATATTTTGATGAAGTATTTTATTCTAAACTATCAATGTGTGATCTCAAAGCTCATGTTTAAATTGCTTGTGATAATGTAGTGTCCTCTGCGTGCTGGGAAGAAGACAAATAAGTTGGCCATTTTCAGTGATGCCGACACCTCGTTATTCAGTTGTTGCCCAACTTCCCAGGCACATGCCCTTCTTCAGGTATTTACCCAGACAAACCACATAAACAGCAATGCTGCTCTGCGACCAACAGGCTGCTCACAGACTTGACTTATGAGGCCACAAAGGAAGCTTTTCAAACTAGATGTTTGTTTTACTGGCCTTGCCCAGTCCTTAAGGTGTACTTTGATCACACCTGAGCCAAATTTAGCTCAGAGAGAGAATAAATGTTTAATGTGCATGTGTTGAGGGGTTTAGAATAGTCTTGGATTCACTCAGCGAGTGCCTCCACTAGTGTTCCCAGGCAGGCTTTTTTCCCATGTATCTGCCAGAGCCTGTTCTGGGTTTGTACAAATACTCAGGAAGAGACTTGGAACTCTGTCTCTGACCTCCCAAGTTAATGTTCTACTACAGAGTTTATAATCAGTCCTGGACACAAAAGAGCTTTTTTATACAAAAGCCTGAGACCTGCCATGATTCACCACAAAATACCCAGTAGGTTGATGATTAGGTTATTTTAGGAAAGTGGAAAGGTGTGTAGATGTAAATTCTTGCTCTTAATTCTTAAAGAAGCTTATTACAGGTTTGTGGCATCTCATTTGCTGTCATGTGTGCCAGAACTCAGGCTTAGGTTGGAGTCACAGGGTACTTGCTGCCTGTTGATCTCATGAGGTATAGATGTCTCAGCTTTCCCTTGCTTCTCTGATTTTCACTTTTTTGGCTTCAATTATTGAGTGTCCAGAAGGTCTACACTGGCTTCCAGACAATAATTTGGGCGTAGAGTTTCTACTGGAACACGTTATTTATTGATGAGATATTGTGACTCTGTAAAGTTACTGAAGTGCTTTGAAGTTCGTACTTGGAGTCTTATAGTAAAATGCAGTGAATTTGAGTGAGGAATGTAAAACAGCTCAGTTATTTCTTGAACGACTGAAGTTAATGCTTCCAGTGCGAGTTCTCAATGTAAAAAACACAAAGTAACATCATGATCCTCTTTGAACATGTAGCTCATTGTAATGCTTTGATTTTTTTTTTTCCTTTAATTTAGATCTAATACAGTGCACAAATGAAATGAATGTGAATATTCCACAGTTGGCAGACACACTCTTTGAAAGAACTGCGAACAGTAGCTGGGTTGTAGTTTTCAAAGCTCTAATTACAACACACCACCTCATGATGTATGGAAACGAGGTAAGACGTGATTGCTTCTGGTAAAGCCTCCTTGACAGTGTTTTAAAAAATTGTTTCAATCCATGAAGCATTAGATATGTACTTCAGTTTTTGAAAGGTCTTTGTTTTTCCTCTGCTGATGACTGTGAAGTACTTATCCAGAGAAGAAAATATTCCTTTGTTATTTCAATACTGAAGTATCAGTGTTTGTAATTTACCTCCAGGTATCTGGGTTGGGCTGTGAGGGAATGATGAGTGACCTTTCTAGGATGAAGACGTGAAAAAACTCTGATGAGCTTTACTTCATTAAGCTAGTGCTTATCAGTAAGAGCACAGCAAGTCTTGTTAGCACTGGGTAAATGTGCAGTAAATGTGCAGCCGACCTATTAACAGATAAGAATATTTAGTAAAGGGGGGAGGAATATGGTGACTAGACTATTTGATCTGGCAAATCATCATCTAATGGGCTAAACCTTCATATGTTGTTGCCACTAACATTCCTCCAAAACAAGCTTCTATTGCTTTTAGTTCACTTAAATAATTTCATTACTTCATTAAAAGCTTCCCCAGACAATAACATGGCATTAGAAATGTAGCCTCTTACACAGTCCTTCCGTTAAAAAATAAACTTTGTTTTGGTGAAGTGACAGTTTAGTCTTGAACTCTTGTGTCTAGTCATTCTCCTACTAAATTGCTGTTGACTATGGGTAATGCTGAAATGATGATTCTTAAAGATAATCCTTCCAGCCATTAAACTGCTCTGCAAACTTGCTATTCCCTCCTGCCTCTGAAGCTCTGTGAACTTAATTGAAATAACCTCTAAAACCTAGTGTGCTCTTTGTTAACATTTCCCCAAGTTATTTATGTGCTTACATTGCAGTTTCAACAGATAATAGGCTGAAATTAGAGGATAGCATGAAGTAAAATTCAGTGCTTAGAATTCACTATTTATTCCAAGTATGAAGATAAACTGAACGGTGTAAATCAGTTTGGATATTTCATTCTCTCTTCTTCCAGTAGAGTTCATATCTGCACACTGAAACTTGAAAGAAAAAAAAGCAGACAGTTGAACCATAGGGAAAAAAACAAAGTTGTGGGCTACCAGTCAGTATCTGTTTGCCCATACAGTGCTTTGTAGTGACAAAAGAGTTGAATTTTTATGTCTGTACCTAAACTGCTCCTCAGCTTTGAATGGGTCTATTTGAAACTTGAAAAAGAGTTCCTTTATACCTGCTGAGATAATCTGGCTGGAATGCTAGCTCTGTAATTTCAGGTTGAATATGAGTGTATTCTTCATTCTAATAGATTAAAAGAGGCCTTTTTCTTATATAGATAAAAAAAATTACAAGATGTTGGGCTTCTATTTTAAGAACAAGTAAATATAGGAGAAGGTCAAAATGTCTGAGCAATCATTGTCTTGCAGTTTCTTGTTCAACATGACTACCTGTTTCTTGTGATGAAGTTTTAGGTCTCACCTGTGTGTTGTGCAGTGCAAGACCCCTGACACCTGGAGAGTGAGAGTTAGCCTTGACCCTTTCTAAAATGAGATTCAGAACAGTAGCTAATTTTGAAATGTGTATGGACACCTTTTGAATATCACTGTTCTGTTCCTGATCATTTTCCAAGTGTTTTTCTTCTGTGTTCTCATTGAATGCAGTACTAAGATGTACAAAGACCAGATAAACTGACTGGAAAACAGCATAAGAAGTTAAAACAGTGGCAGAACTATTGGTGGGCAAGCTGTGTGTTGTAGGATTCTGTGAACTCCATAGCTATGGGCTGAGAACACATACAGAGTTACTGATGAGGTGGTATGTGACAAGCTGGGGAATCATTTGGGCCCTTTGGAAGGTGAAAGTACTGCTTTCAGTTTAAGTAGTACTTGTAAGAAGAATTTTCTTGTTGCCATGCGAAGCCCTCATTACAGTTCCCGAAGAGCAGGTGTTATACTGAGCCTGAGTGAAAAAATGCTAGTTTTGCAGAGTGCTATAGTCCAAACCTGGCAGACAGGTGGATTTCCACCATGAAGGGTGAAGGAACAGGCTCTGTGAGCTGTGGCAGCAGAGGGATTCAGATCAAAGCTGTAACAGGTCCCTTAAGCCATAATGATCATAATCCTCTTTTATGGACTAGGACACATACAAAGAAGCAAGAAAGTCAGGAAATCAGTCATAGGAGATCTGTGTGGAACAGTGGCAGAGAAACTTTTAAACCTGCCTTGCTGTCTGGACGTGTTTGTCTCTTGAGTTATTTATGGAGACAGCTATTATTTGTCAAAACTTAAATACTGTTCAGCTAGATCACTACATTAATATAGATATGTTTTTATATATGTATATATAACCCTGGTTATATATATCTATCTATATATAGATGTTCACTGCAGTTTCAGAAGCATTATTGTTACTAATTAGTTTTAAACTTCGTAACTAAGCCTGTCTCCCACTTCTACAGCAGTAGTAGAGCTATACAAACTTCGCAAGTAGTATTTTTGTTTTGTTTTCTAGCTTGTCCGTTTTAAACTACAAACTTAAACTAAGTAGCTTCCTCAAGAAATATTTGTCTTTTATTCAAGGGCAGTTGATACGTATTTATTTAGTTTAAATTTATATTTATGCCAAATAGAGTTTTGGACTTCACATGCTTTGCTAATCAGTAGTTTCAATTTTTCCTCTAAATTTTTCCCCTTTAACTAATTTCTATTGTTGATAAAGGCTACTAGAAACAGTTACAAGGTGATTGTAGTTTTCTTTTAATATGCTTAACTGTTTTGACTCTCACAACAATGATATTCTCAACTTCTTCACCAACAGCGCTTTATCCAGTATCTTGCATCCCGAAACACTTTGTTCAATTTGAATAACTACCTGGACAAAAGTGCCATGCAGGGTAAGGATTTTTCACTGAAGGAAGTAACTACTGTTTTTTTGCTCTATGATAGTACCTGTGTTGGTGCACTCTAGGAGATAAGTGATGTTTAAATGAAAGCGTATTATGATTTATATTGCATGAGGTGCCAAACAATATCTAACCAAGAAAGTAGACATAAAAGGAAAGTGAAATTCTGAGTTACCTAGCTGAGTGCTGGAAATTTGTCTGTAATGTGTGTATCACGTGCATATGCAGCTGTAAATTTTAAAAAGTGAACTCTTAACTCTTAATGCTGACTAGAATAAACCTGATGAATATTACCACGATCTGTTTTTGCTGTTGCATTTTAGTGTCTTAGGAGTAAATGTTTGCTGTTAAGGTGCACTGAATGGTAACTAGGATATGCTGTATAAATACTGAGAAATCCTTCAAATCTCTGAGAAGTCTTTAATAACTTACCAATGGTAGAAAATATTTTGGGGTCTTTATGTGGTTTTTGAGGCATTATAGATAAGTTACCAGAGTCTTCAGCATTTTACTAGGAATACATTTTTAATCTAATTTCAGTAACTTCTTAGGAAGAGCTATTTGGTTCTTGCCTAATATTTTAATGTGTTTAGGTGTTCTCATAATTGCAATGATTGCTTTCCTAATCTTGACAAATTGGGAAGAAACTAATATTACATCTGAAGGTGAAAAATAGTGACTGTTAAGACTGGAAAGCGCCTGTGAAGGGCTTTTCGTGCAGGTAGATGTAAAATGGATTACTAGGAGAATAGCTCTTGAGAAGAACTTCAAAGGAACTGTACCCCCTCAAAATGTCTAACTTTTATAAATGCTTAACTTTTAGGCTACGATATGTCTACCTTCATTAGGCGATATAGCAGATACTTGAATGAAAAAGCACTTTCATATAGACTTGTAGCTGTTGACTTCACCAAAATGAAAAGAGGGTAAGACTCTTACTACTTTCATTTGGTCTTTCATATTGTCAGGGAGAGAAATACCAGTTGTTCTTGAGCTTGTCATAGATTGGTGTTCCTTTTGGCCCTTTGAAGCAATATAGTATTGTTGAAACAGCATAATATGCTGAGGTTTCTTGGTTAACTTGTAAACATGTGTCTTCTACTCCGTAGGATAGATGGAGTGATGAGAACCATGAATGCTGAAAAGCTTCTGAAAACCCTTCCAATCATACAGAACCAGCTTGATGCACTCCTTGATTTTGATGTAAGTACTCTAAGCTCAGTGTTATGTAACACTCATTTTGAAGTGAGAGTTTTATTATTTTATTAAATACTAATTTACTTTCTCATTGCTTTCTACACAGGCAAATCCAAATGAACTAACAAATGGTGTTATAAATGCTGCCTTTATGCTCCTCTTTAAAGATTCCATTAGACTTTTTGCAGCATACAATGAGGGGATTATTAATCTTTTAGGTATGTGAGAACTTTTCTACCTTTTGAACTTTTATGAAAGATATCGAGAGAACTAAAGAATATAGACAATTTATGACTGCAGTTTCCTAATAAATTCTCTGCTCCTTTACCATTAAGTTAAGCCTGTCTTAATTTCAGTGGCAACTAGCGTAGGCTTAAACATACACTTCTACCTTGAAGAATACATCCTGAAACAGAAATTGAGATGAGAGGGTGACTGGTGAGACTGAAACATAAATGTGCTGTGGATAACCTTTGGCAATTGGACTGTAAAAGTATCAGTGAGATACCTGGTATTTTGAGTATTCAGTATAGTCACAGAATGACCGACTTCTGGTTTCCCATACTTTCTTTATAGCTTGACTAATAACTCTTGCCTGGTACCTGAATCTACATGAGCCTAGTAGATTTTTTGTTAAAGATTGAGCTCTTAGCAAAGCCTTATAATGACTATTAAAGCAAATTTCTGAGTGAAAACATCTGATCAGTTTGTTCTGTTAATCCATTAGTTTTTACTCGGTGAAATACCTTTAAGTATATAGGGGAAAACCATAAAAAGTAAGGATATGGTTGATACTCCTTTTGGTAGGGTCAGTTCAGTGTATGTACCACTTGAGCAGCCATTCTGATGTCTTTTGGATATTGAACCCACTTACAAACATCAAAATGTGTTGATACAAGTTCTAAAAATATAAATATAAACCAGGAATATTTTCAATTGATAAAATAATTTGCCTCATTGCCAGCTAATAAGCTGACTTCTTGAAAATATTCCCCTAAATTTGACAATTTCAGTGATTCACGTCCATGCTTAATAAAGCTTTGTATTATTTTATCATGTGCTGAAATAGAAAAATCAATGTTTTTCTGTTGACTTATTACAAAAGGTGTCAAGGTGTTCGTGTAAACTTTAAAATCTGAATAGCTTTGAGTTGCTCCTATCTGTTCTCTCCCTGATGATTGTCTCAAATTAACTTTTATAATACTGTGTCAGCTTTTTGCTGGGGAGGCTGTTATCTTATGAGTGTTGTTTGCATCCTCAGAAAGATATTTTGATATGAAGAAGAACCAGTGCAAAGAAGGCTTGGATATTTACAAAAAATTTCTAGCCAGAATGACCAAATTGTCAGAATTCCTCAAAGTAGCGGAGGTAAATAAATTACATCTATGGAAAGGATATCGTTTAGCTGCCTGTACTTGTACAGTAGTCTGTATTCATAATAACAACTTCTCAAATGGATGAGTGTTTGCTTAACTTTGCTATGGAAGGAAATACTCTACAAATGTGTTTTTTTTAAAGATTTTATACATTCGTTAATGTCAAGTAAGATTCTGGAGTATCCATTTTATTAGCCAGACAACATAATAAACTTTCTGAAGTGTTACAAATTTAATGAATGGTCCAAAGTGAGTCACCTGAATGTTGCAGTGTGTATACAGTGCTCTCCCTTACTGTAACTGCTCAAAATGAAGAAGTAGTTCCAGTAGGCAATGGAGTGTTTCTAATACTCCCATAAGCTTCTCTGCATGAAAAAGTTAGGCTGGATGGGAAGTTGGGTTTGCTTTGAGATGCGGTTTAATGCACTTGTGATTTCTAAGGCGCGTTTTTAGTGAAACTCATACCAGTTCAGAAAGTTAAGAATATCCCTTCTTAATATGCTAGTTTCTATGTGACATTGACATCACTGTTCTTTTACTTTTATTGCCACTGCATGTAGTAATGTACTTTTTCTTTTCCTTTTGTTTTTTGTAAACCCAGCAAGTTGGAATTGATCAGGGTGACATTCCAGATCTTACTCAGGTCAGTATACATATCATTGATTAACCCAATTATTTTATTCTTTGTGCTTCTAAAAGTTGATGTGTATCATAGTAATCACTCATCTCTAACATATTCTCTTCTACATATTTATATATGAGAAATATGTATGGTGACTTTTCCCATGGTTTAAATGTATTCAGTACTCGCACTTTGCAGCTCTTAAGACTTTTTTGATTGTTTAAAGCAGTAAAACTCACAGGAAATATTTTTCAGGAACTTCTGTTTTTTATCACAGGGGATTCATTGGCATGTAAGCCACAAGCACCTTGCCATGCCTTGAGGAAAACCTTCCATTTTACTGTAACCTAATGTCTTCAACACACTTAAAGATTAGTTAGCTACTTCAGTCAAGAATTTTTTCTTTGTCCTGAGTTCTGAATAGATTTGATGTTTCTATGTCAGCACCTAACACTGGCTTTGATATTACTCAGTAGTATGAGCGACATGCACAATACAGGTTGTATGCTGGAACATTTCGTCTAAAAGGTGGAATGCAGGGGAGCACCTTCTGGTGAGGATAAATTGAGGGGCAGAAGGGAGGTCAGAATGATGGTTTGACCCGGTGAACAGAAAACACTTGATAGTCTACAGAGGGGCACAAATTTGTTCATTGCACATTACTTCAGTTCATAGGGACACTGTATTTCTAACCTAGGAACAACCCAGCATTTGGTATTCTTTCTGTAGCACAGAGTAACTTGTTGGGTAGAATAAATGGCAATCTGTCAGGTGATTCTGGCAATAAACAGAGTGCCTTAGAGGTCTAGAGTACTCAAGCTGTTTAAGCGGAGTAATTGTGAAACAGTTAAAATCTAATGTGTAAATTTTGAACAGTCGCATCTAATCCTACACTGCCTTCACAAAATTAAATTTCATGGGTTAATCATGTAAAAATATATCTACTGTGAAGATTTGCCTGAACTTTGTCAGTGTCTTTTTAATATGGAAATCAAATCTAAACCACAATTTAATTGTCAGTGTTGTTTGTTACTGCCAAAGGTATGATTTACATCTGAAATCACACATTTCAAAGTACAAATTTCTAATACTTTCTCCTAGCAATTAATACTAACCCCTTTAAGAACTTACAGGCCTTTGTGGTAGGAAAGAAATATGACTAATGAGGAGAGTAAGAGCAGGTAATGAGTGAAAACAGTAGTTTGATGTTTTCTATTGGTGTTTGATCTTAGCACCTTACTCTGTCTTTTGATTAATGCTGCAGTATTCAGATGGTCTGTATTATGCTAATCAAATTATACTCAAGTCTGAAGTTGTACTTCACTGGGTTTGTGTGAACTTGTCCAGTTAATTGGGTCAATACAAGGCTCTTCAAAGCAGGGTTTTTTTTTTTTATTTACTGAGATTAGGGGATTTAACTTCACTTTGATGCTTTTTACATCTGAAACTTTCAGTGAGCAAAACCATTTATCTACTCTTCTTGCTTTTTTCCTAATAGTTCAGCTATTTTTTGTAAGTGCACTTAGGGCAGCTCTCTGAATTGTGGTGGTAGATGTCAGCATCCTGTGTATTTTCGCAGTTTCAGTACCACTAAGCATGCCAGTTCCATAGTAAATTTCATGGCATTTAATAAGAGTTGAATAATTGTGCACCCATTTAGTACCACATTAAAAGAATTTGCTAAAATTTCTTAATACTATGCTTTCACAGAAATTTAATTTTCACTGTGCTTGTATTTCTGAAATAAGTTTTGACAGGATCATGTCTTTGGTTTCTGTTCTGGTCTACCATTTTTTTTTTTTTTTTTCCAAATACTTTGTTTACATTTTTGGTGTATATTCTGTTCTAGGATATGCATATTTTGTAATTTCCTTAAGCTGTTCCTGACAGCAATGGTTTTATCACTTCAGAGGTTTATTACCACTGCTGCTGTACAACTGTGTTTCTTCCTTGATTCTGATGTTCCCACTACAGCCACTTTTGCCAGTTCCTATAAAGAAAATATTTTCCTTTTTTAGGTGCCCTGTTTCACAATGATGTTGCTTCCTTTCTGTTTATAGCTGTTACTGTAGTTCAGGAATGCAACTGGGTCATTTTCCTCTGTATGGCTCTTAGTCTGTCAGATGTCTTTGGGTGGGAGGAAGGAGGCTGAGTCATGAAATACAGACTTTTTTGAGTCATAATGTTAGCCCAGGCATCTCTTCTGACATAAAACTACTAAGGTCTCATCACTCAAAATTTCATCTCAGGTGTTCTGTTGGATGTCTGTAGCCATGAGAAAGTTCAGAGAAGTTACTGGTTTGTTGTTTTTTTGTGATTGAGGGGGTTGTTTAGAGGGTTTTAGAAACAGTACATACAGAACATGCTTTTCCATACAGATAAGTTTTAGAGTGTCCTTGGGAAAAAAAAAAAAATTACTAGGAAAAGCTTTCTGGAATTAGGCTATAGTCTCTTGCTATAAAGTTTATCTATCCAGCTGTGTATTTTGCAAACTATTGTTCCTCCTGAAATGTAAAAGTATGGGGGGGTGGTGGGAGGTTGGTGTGTTATTTTTTATTTTTGTTGTTTTTTTCCCCAATACCTTTCCAGAAGGGTATTTCCAAATGTTCCACCTTGGGGTTCAGCTGTCTAGTTTGAACGCTGAATTTGTTCATGACGAGTTGTTGAGGTAACTACAATCTTAACTTATCTAGCTCTACTTATAGAAAGAAATACCAACTCAGCCCTTAAGACAAGCTGTTTTATAGGATTATTCTTATTGCTTTTCTTTGCATCTCTTGTAGCTTGAATTGGCCTTCTTTGAATGTGGGAAGCTAGAATTCTGCTCAATATTTCAGCGGGGAACTTGTGAAAGCCTTGTGTGATTTAGTATTTTTCCTTTTTCCAGGAAATACTTTTTCTAGCTGTTGGTACAGAAGGGGTAACAAGTACAAGCTTGATTTTATTCCAAACAATGCCTATCGTATCTGTTCTACTTGCTGAAAGTTGGCAAGTGGTAACAAGAGGCATAATGTCTGGAACCCTTCCAGATGAGGGAGGACTGATAGAGGTCTATTTCCTTCATCTGAATCTGCAGTAGCGTTTATTTCACTTGTTTTATGGGGTATGGACTATGTAGTTAAAAGCAATGAGCAATGTAGCTAGAATAGCAAGGCAGTGAACTCTCCGAAAGTGACAGCCTAATTATTTTGCTTGCTGGCTGTTGTTTTTATGGGGTGATTTGGAGAAATCTTGCTTGCTATTTAGACTGTGTAATCAAGATGAGTTCAAATTTGTTCCGACCTTTGAAGCGGTTTCCTTTGGTATGGGAGAAATATTTCTGTAGTTGGATACAAGTATATGGCAGAAAGAAGGCAGGTTGTGATTGGCACTTTTTTCTTGTTTTCTGTAGGAACCAAAGCAAGTTGGTGTGCCTTAAGTCTGTATATTTTAAAGTTGCTCTTTTCTGTTACCTGTCAGTTAAAATCATTGTCACGGGTACTGAATAATGTCATGGCTGTGCTCTATAAAGTCTTGGTAAGCTTATGAGTATTGGTCACCTAAAACTCATTTAGGTGTCTTAAGTCTTAGCTGAGGTGTCTAGTACCTGACTTACTGCTGGATTTAAGTGGCGAGAAGCCTGTTTTTTGAAACCTTAATTGCTTTAAGGACCAACCTAATGTTTAAAAACTTCTCATGGGTAACACTTTTTCTGGGGTGGGAATCCACCAGAAACAACTTCATTTGAAGTGATGTTGCTATTTTCTAATGTTTTAGGCTACCAAATGCTTTGGAATAATTGAGTTGGTTTACTGTGTAGTTATGTGTGGCATAGCCACTCAGTCTGCAATAGTATTGTTGGGATCAGGTTGAATTTGATTGCTTTTTTTATCAAACCTGACATTCTGCTGTAGTCAAGTGTTTCTAGTGCAAGCTTTTGACTGTAAATATTTGAATAGAAAGTGATTGGCTTTTTATTGTAATGGGGAAAGGGGCTCAAAAATGCAATGGCTTCATTTTGGTATTTCTGTGAGCTTAAGGGAGTACTGCTTCATCAGCTGTGATTGTTGCATTAATCTTAACTTAGCAAATATTGCTGCCAAAACCAAGAATGAAACTTGCATACCCAGAAGCAGATATACTTTGGGGGAATCCTTACTTCATGTCTCTGTGGTACCACTCCTTTAAAAGCACCCCAGCTGAGTAAACAGAATTCAGGAGTGTAGGATGGCTGCAAGGCTCAAAGGCACAATTATTTATGTGTGGAGTGTTGTTTTTAGTGGATGAGGAAACTAATCTGTGTGCTAAACAGTGATGTGTTGTCTAGAAGGAGCCTTTTATAAATACTTTTAACTTTAGGCTCCCAGCAGCTTGCTTGAAGCACTGGAACAGCATTTGGCTTCAGTGGAGGGAAAGAAAACAAAAGAAGTCTCCGCTGCCAGCAGGTGAGCAACCAATGAATTACAATGATACCTATACCTAGGATTTGTCATCTTCATACTAAGAACTTTCAGGATTCAGCCACTTGGTGTTTTTGAATTTTATTCACTTCCAAATATATCTTCCTAGAAGTAGAGATGAAGCATCTAGTGAGTAGTAGTCTGATAACTTAGTCACATTTGACATTTAGGTATGTCTGCCTGTGTCTCTGACAAATTTATTGTGCTATAATATATGAGGTCTCAGCTCACTGGTTTATTATTCTTTTTAGCTTCTACTTGTTTCAAGTCCTTTAAGGCTCTTTTTACGCAAGACAGGACAGTATTTATCTTTGTTGTAATTTATGTACCTCTCAGACTGCGAATTTATCTTAACCTGCTTATAAAAGTTCTTCAGTCCCCTCTCAGAACAGCCAAATTAGCTTAGATGCTTTGTGCTGACAGAAATTGTGTTATTCTTTGTCAAGTATGGTATCAATATGTATGAACAGTACTTCTGACTGAAGAGCGAGAGATCTCTTTTGACATAGTCATTCTCCCACAGAAATTTGATAACTACTGATAAACGTACTGGTGTAAACTACAGTCCTGTGTAAAGATAAAAAGCAACTGGTATGTTCTGCACTTTCCAGTTCCTACCCTCTGAAACCTGAGGGAATAGTCCTGTGTACTCATGCTGCTTTTTCACCAGGCTTCGTTATTGGGGTGTCTGCCTTTCTGTCCCAGAGAGTAAGGGAAGAAGAGACTGGTGTGCAGGGGTAATGACACAAAACTAGATAAGGCACTTGATTAAACTATAAGTGATGTATACCTGACTGTTTTTTGTAATAAAACTCTTTAAAATTATTACTGTTTTTAGAGCCAGTGCCCTATCCAGTGCTGTTTCCACACTTGCCAGTACCGGAATGTCATTTAGCAGGATGGATGAGAAAGAAAAGCAGCAGGCATTGGAAGAGGAACAAGCTAGACTGCAGGCACTTAAGGTACTATTTTTTTTACAAGTTTTGTATTCCAAGATCTATTTTTTTAACTGGATACAGGTGAAAACCAAGATTGCCTTAAAATAGTGTCGGGGAGGGGGGAGGGGGGCACCAAGGCATGATTCTGTAGGATACAGGTGTGATAGCTACCAGTATGTGGTGACCTTTCTCTCAGGAATATGATTTGAATAGCAAACAGCTGATAGAAATAACATATATTCTTCCTTACAATAAATTGTTACTGACCTCAGATTCACAAAATGAATATGCAACAATTCTAGGTTACATGTCAGCAGCTGAACATACAGTATTGCTATTGTAAGACTGGTTATTAGTAGGAGGGAATTATTTTTCCCCATGATAGATGGAATATGGCTTTACTGTGACTCTTGTCATGTTGCTCATAACGAGAATATACACTATAGCTCTGCCCACATTTAACTGCTTTTATTTATAATTCTACAATTTAGTTTGAAAAACTGTTTGAGATCATATGTATTTAGGTATAATTTATGGACTGTGAATAATAATGTATTTGAAAGAAAATAGGTGTGTTCTTTTTTGGTTCCTTAATGCGTTCTCCTTTGCTTATAGGTACTTGTTGAGTAGTCCTCATAGTAATATCCCTCTCTTAAGGCCTGAATCCTGGTCCTTTTATTCCATTTGTAACACTGTTCCTGAGAACATACACAGTATAAAATCTCAAACAAGACAAGATGCTACTCTTGCTGAAAGCTAAATCTGTAGTTCTGTCATGTCCTAGGCACATGCAAGTGGGGCAGTTGGGAATTTTTCTTGTGTTGCTTTAATGTCTCTAGAGACACCTAAATGATGAAGCAGCTCTGCTCATGTCTTCTGGAGACAACATTGAGAGCCTTCAAACTATATGGAGTGTGAAAGTAAACTTTGGTCATGCAGAGTTGAGTTTCATCTCTGAAGTTAGAGGTCTGTTGAAGATTCTCCACTTTCCTGACTTGGTGTAAGGCATATTTTTCAAATCAATGTGAAACAGGTTTTTTGCTATTGGACTGCAATGTTAGTGTGCCTTGCTGCCTGCTGCTGAACTGCTTCACTTGAATCTCAGCAAGTGTTGGGATGTTTGTTTTTTTTGGTTGGTGTTGGTTTTTGTTTTCAGGAGTTCTATCAGATGTATCCCCTCTTCACTGTCCCACTTCTAGTATACAAAGGACTTGTAGCTGCTGTAACTGAATAATTAAATCAGTTGATATGATTTTTCTTTTCGGTGGGCAGGGAAGCTTGCAAGCTCACTTCAGGTTTTACTTGAGGGATGTAAGCAGTGTAAAACATACACCTGTGTTTTGACCTGTGCTGTATAAATCCAGTGAGCATATCTAGAAGTAACGAGGAATGTAAATGTAAAATTAACATAAACTAGATTTTTATTTTGCTAGTTTAAGAGCAACATCACATGGTTGTTATTACAGTGCACATTGTCAGTCTGACTTCTCAACATCTGGATTGAACTATGAAGAAATCCTAACAGTAGAGATGGGTCTTCTGAACAATGGTCCATTGACCTGTCTCTGAATGACTGAGGGGGGATCCTAGGAAGTGTAGCTTGGCTAGAAGTGTTTTACTTCTGGGCAGTTATAGTTTGAAAAAATAATTATTTTAAAAATCAAGGTGAGACTTGAGGTTTTAAGGCTTTGTTAAGAGATAAGACTATTTGTTTTAATTTCAATCGTCTTTCAGTTTTCAGGATTTTACAGAAGAATAACTTTTATTTAAGACCATAATTAAAACTTCTTGGCAAAACTCTTCAGGACTGAAGGGTTAATAAATGAATAAAACCAAAATGAAAACCATGTATCTCATCTTTCAGGAGCAGCGGTTAAGAGAGATTTCTGTAGTATCAAATTCCATTTCCACATCAGCATCCCCAAGCACCTTATCAGGAAAAAGTGTGAATACTACCATAGCTGTTGACCTCTTTGCAGTACCAGCACCCACAACAAATAGGTGAGAGAGACTTTTCTTTCTGAAGCAAGCAGAAATTACTGCATTGGCCTGTAGCTCCACAATTACTGCAAACCCCTGATCCTAGTTACTTTTCAGGTACTCTTCAAGAATAATTTTTTGCTGATGATTTCCTGGTGTATTCGCAGGAATTTTGGTATTGGTCAATAAGAAGTGCTTAGTTACTAGTTTTATTTTGTACCACTATTATTTATGGGCTACTAGTAAACAAGAGAAAGTGAGGTTGGTGTGAGTGTTCATGTAACACAAGAATACAATGCCTATTATATGTATATTCATGTTTTTTACCTCTCCTTCTTATTCAGCATGCCCAACCTTTCTAGTGATCTTTTTGATCTTCAGCCTGCATTCGTTCCAACTGTGCAGAGTACTCCAGCTATATCAACATCAGCAAGCAGTGCCTGGGGAGGTGAGCTGATACAATGATTTGGCTGTCTAAATGATGGGTGAATTCTTAGAACACAAGAATGAATAAAATACAGATTCATCCTTAATTGAATCTACATATAAAACCTTAATTACTTTGCACTGAAACATTTCTATCCTTGACAGAATATAAAATACATCATCTGAAAGCTCTGGCAAACTGTTATAAGGAAGTTATTTTTTTCTTAACACATAGCAGTAGTGTCTGTGCAGTAGATGGAATGAAGAAGCTAGTCAACAAAGGGGACAGATAGAAGAAAGATAACTAAAAATCATAGTTTAAAAATGCTGGGAAATATAAACTAAGCAGGTGTAACTGAAAAGATGCTGGACTGGTATTTCTGTTCCACTAAGTGATATTTAATATTTTTTTTTCATTTAAAAGGTGTTGGTGACTTAAATTCTTATAACAAAGCTGCTGTTCCCAGTTTCTTGGGCACAGAATTCTTTGTACCCTCACCCATCCCTCCAAAGAATGATCAGGATAAATGTTGAAGAGATGTCTTAAATGCTGAAATAAGGCAATATTAACACCGTTGGAGGTGTTGGTATTTTAATAGATGGAATTGATACCCTTATATACTATTCAAAAGGTTAATTCTTAAAGCCAAAAGTGTAGTATCTATCTTTAATTGATAAATGTTCTGTCATTCTCCCCCTCCTAACCAATGGCAATACTAGAATTATTTTCCCTAAAGAAGAGCTGTAAGGATTTTTATCTGAAACTAAGAATTTGTATCTTTAATGGATTGATCACTAGGTGGAATATTTACAGTTTGAATTTGTCTAGAGATTCTCATATTTGATCATTTCAGTCTGTTTTTTCTTTTCCATTATTTGTACTCTGTATTCTTTCCTTCACTTCTGCATCTGAAAGGTCCTTTCTCCTCCTCAAATGGTTGTGTTGGTTCTCCACCTCATCTGGACATCTTTGACATGAAGCCAGTTGAAGAAGCTGTAAAATCTACCACCCCTTTCATCAATTCTACTTTTTCCTCCAAACAAACGGTGGAGCTATTTAGTGGTAAAAAACCAAACAAACAAAACCCATGTAACTTATTTGCAACTGGAGATAATAATACGAATAAACTGGGCCATGTAATCTTTTTGTGGTTTGGACCAATCTTCACTCTCTAATAAGAAGTGAAAATGGTGCATTAATTCCAGATATAGTAAATTCATATGTTTCCTTAAAGTTTTATTCCTACGGTTGAAATAACTCATTATTTTGTTCAGCTTGCCCAACCTAGAGATCCTAAGACTTGCAACGTTGCTGGAATTTTTACTGATTTCTTTCAAACTGCAACCTCTTTTCTTTTTCGTAATGGGGAATGCAGGAGTTACCTGAGATTTTCAAATTTGTTAAATGAACAAATTATTTTTTTATTACTAAAATTTCTTAACTGCGGACTTAATTTTTGGGTCCCTTCTTCCTTTTCCTCTTTTAAACTGATCATATTTTCTTCTCTCTTTTTACGAAGATGACTTTAGTGGTCATAAACCTACATATGCTTCTGTGTATCATCCTCTGACTGTTGATGGTAATTTGATTATTTTTTCTTATTAAAACTTTTCTGGTTCCACTGTAATGGGTGGCATTAGTCTATAGGTGTATTTGATTACTCTAAACTTTTTTTCAGGTTTTCCTCTTCATTCAGCTCCTCCGAGTACCACCTCTTCAACAATTAACGTGGACTTCGATGCTGTTTTTGGAGGAAAATCTGCAGTACCAGAGTACAGGACTACAAGTGGTAAAAACTTGCTTACGACTAATTTACACCCTACGGGCAACTGTTGCTTAACAATTTAGTGTAATTGCTATTGCAGCTGAAAATTTAATAACTTAATACATTTGCAAGCTGATTATAGGGCTGGTAAGATAACAGGCAATCAGTTTGTAGTTATTTACTTGAAAATTAGCTTTGACTAATCTCATATACTTTGTAATAATGGTTTCCTCTCTTTTTGGGGGAATGAACTTTGAAAATGGCCCACTGGACACCTCTTAACGGGTAAGCTTCTGTTAATCTGTTTTCAGTGCTTATGACTCCAGCATTTTCTCATGATACAGGATAGTGAGTTCCCTCTAATTTCATTGAGAGGTGTTGTACTTATGAAAACGCAAAGTTAGGCATGTGTATGTGTTGCTTGAAGAATAGCTGAGTTACCATCTTTCCCTTGGTTGGTGCTGTTTTGCTCTATATTCAAAGTCCTTATGAACATACAGCAAAGGAACTCTTGTGTACATTCTGGATACTAGTAGTATAGTGAAATGACTGCTATATCATGTTGCAAGAACACTTTGAAATTACCTTTAACAACCTTCTTTCTTAAGTTTTAGGGGAGAATTTTCTTTAATTTAAAAATACCATCAGTTACTGCTGAAGTAAAATTAAAGATTCTACTAGATGAGTAGCTACAATATAGTACTCATTAAAAAAAGTAAGAGGTTAAACTATACTGTCTAAGCCTTAAACACTTCCAGCATGTTGAACCTCCACATATAAATACTCAAACTACTTTGTGTTCTATAAAGAAGATATGTTCCTGGCTTAGGGATGTCTTTTATTCAATCCAATGTAACTGTTTTGTTAATAGTTGCTTTTATGTGTTTTATTTAGCTTTTAACTTTCTAGATGATGTATTGCAACCCACAGTACCACCACAAAGTCAAAGAGCCACTTTAGCCAACCAGCAAAGCGGAAAAATTTTGGCAAATGACCTCGATTCTTCACTTGCTAATCTAGTGGGAAGTGAGTGTGAAGCTTTTAAATGTAACTTTCCCATTTGTAACTGAAAGCAAAAACTTTCCCCTGCTCCCCCTTCAATTAAAAATACTTAGGGATTTTTTTTCTGTTTCTCTTCCCCCCTAGATCTTGGCTTTGGAGGAACTCCATCCAAAAAGTAAGTGTGTAGAAACATAGATAGATACACACGCTTACAGTATTCTCGCATGACTGCTTGGTAGTCTCTGGCACAGTTTACCAGCACTAACATGGCAAGAGTCTTAACTGTTAGAGTACTCTGCTACCAAGAACAGCATTGAAACAGTGAGTCTGTGGTCAGTCACGATAATATGGTCAACTATAACTTTTAAAGTAATTCACTTTAGTTTTACAATTGCTGTGTTTTTATTGAAGTATTTTTATAAAGCGTAAAGATCCTGCAGTTACATAGAACTCCAGTTACTCGTTATGCTATACAGTGCAGTAATAATAGTTTGTTTTTAACACAAAATAGAACCTGTAGACTTCAGTTACTGGAACGGAGATATATAAGTAGTTGCTGAAATCCTGAGTGTTTCTTCCACCCATAGATTGCAGCCATGTACATGTATTAAGGCATGTTTTAGATTTCTGTTGTGATGTGTCACTTTAGCTGTTGACTTTCTGTGAAGACTAATACCACAATTTTGTTTTAGATCGGATATGCAGTGGACCCAACCTACAGAGAAAAAACTTACTGGTGGAACAAACTGGCAAGCAAAAACAAGCACATCGACCACATGGAACCCTACTCCCTTACCCACTATTCCACATATGGTAATTTCCGTACTATTGAAGTCACGCTTCATTCTAGCAAATGTTATTTCCCTGCTTGAATTAATTTTAAAAGAATAGCAAAGGCTGTCTGGGACAAGACTGGGGGCAGGAGGGAATGCTTGTAGTATCACTTCTCAAACAGACCGAGATGGATATTTTATTATGCTTTATTTCCCCTCACTGCAAAACTTGTCCATTAAAGACTTAAAGAATCAGCCTTTCTCTTGAGACATATTTAAGTTCATAACTTCTTTTTGAATTGAAACGAATGACACCAAAACATAAAATTTCTGATGTGTGTGTTTGAGATGCTCCCACCCCCTTCCCCTTCCCACGCATGCACACACGCACCTTTAAGAATCCTAAGAATGTATTTCAAGGGTAAAACTGCTGTTCCTTCCAGTTTTCACTCCTTTTTCAGTTTTATCACATTAAACACTGCTGCAACCCCTGTAAGGCACCTTAATTATCAGGTTAAGCAGCACTTTAGACTTAAGATAATGCTCAACAGCAACTTCATATTTTTAGCATAGTACAAAATGCTAAGTAGAAGTTTCGTAGTTATTTAAATTAAGACTTTTAATTTCTTGGAGGAATATTTGTAGGCAAGTGGCTTTTCCTATGCTTTTAAAATATTTTTCAAGTATCTTCTATTCATATATGTTCATACAAATACAAACCACTTCTGAACTGTAGCTGCCTTAGAGGGATGTGGAATGTTCATCTCTGTTATGTGTGCAACTACGGTAATTACCACATTTGCTATGAATTTTGGACTGCTGTCTGACTTTATTTTCCAGTAAGACTAGCTTTGCCTGTAAGGCCAGTTTTCCTCATCTTACATGACTGTGCTTATTCAAAATTATCGAAGTTGAATATTAAATCTAGTATTGGACTCAGAAATTCAGATAAGAGGATGTCTCAGTTGTATAGCACTTTTATGTGAGACTTCTGAGACCGTAAAATCTTTTTATCCCCTCTTGGTGCTCTTGAACATGTTATCTTAGAGTGCTGATGCATTTATCTTTTTGGAAGATAGAGCGCCTTAGCACACACTGATCACTGTGGATTTGGGTTGTATGTTTTTATTTCATGTGTTCATGTTTCATACCCTCTGGTCTAAGCATTTGAGTGCGTTGTGCCAGATATCTGCTCACTCATTTGCTTAGAATTCCAAAAATTGATGATACAAAGACCTAGCTCAGCTGTGAGCATCTTTAAAATCAGTGCCCCAGTGTTGGAAAGGTCTAACTCTCCTGGCTCGGTATGTGGCATTCGGAGTACTAACTCCCCAATTCATGTATAGTCTGCATATTCTTTCATAGTGAAGTATTTTAACTAGTGCTCCATCTTAAATAAGATTAGCACTACTTAACAATGCATGGCAACATGAAGTGCATGCATCACTCTGCCTGTAATCATAACCTGATATAAGTTATTACTGGCTTAAGATGCTCTTAATTTTTCTTTTTTCATATTGTGATATATTGCAGACATCAGAAGTTCGTATGTGAGGAACATTTACCTGACTAAACCTCTACTGCTGTTTGTTCCTTAAGCTGAATGGTCACCAGCTTTCTTGGTTTAGTCTATGCCCTTCTCACATATAATGGAAGGAAGAATGAATATTGCATGCCATACCCTCTAAAAGCTTCACACAAATGTTTGTGCAAGGAATATACTCAAATCTGGCTACATTTAGTCCTTGCACTTCCTTCCTCCTGCTTTGTTTTAATAAATGAGTTGAGCATAGTTACAGACGGTTATGGTACTGGACTTGAATCTATCCCTTGGTTAGAATTTCCAGTTCAAATACCTCTTAAATAATTTTCTGTCCTTACTCCTTTTGCTGTGCCAGAATGGAGTACACTATCCTGGATATGTAAGTCGATTTCTTGTAAATATGTTGGTTATTTTAAGTATTGGAAAAGATGGGGGTTTTTGACAGTCTTATATGTATATATATATACATATATATATATGTATATATATATGTATATATATATATGTATAACTAGAATGCATGAGCTCATCTAAAGTACATTAAAATGTTCTTGATTTGAAGGTACCTGCTCCTATCGCATACCCATTGACCACACCTCAAGTGCCTGTATATGGAATGGTAAGAAATGTGATTGTCTTGTATTCCTGAAAAAACCTACTTGTCCCCTCCAGAGTTGGTTTCATGGCAGGCTTCATGCTCAAATCATCCTGCAACTTATATGTATTGTTTCATACGGTCAATAGTGTGTGAAATCTGATAGCTTTTTCATTGTGCATTGGAAGAGATTACTCTAAATTTTATACAGCAAGTTTTTTAAAAGCTCTGACTTTACTGCATGTGTGTGTCTGTGTGCTTATTTTCTATTATATTTACAATGTGAAAAGATACATCTAGAAATAGTTTGAATTTTATATACCTGTTTTGTGGGGTGTTTGTTTTTCTAACAGGTACCTCCTCAGGTTGGAGCTGCTCCTTTGATGGCACCTCAGTCAATGATGTATACGCAGCCTGGTCTAAGGCCAACAAATCCTTTTGCACCTGTTTCTGAAACTCAGGTTAACTTTTTTTAGTTTTGAGATCACATTGAAACTTTAGTCTTGGTAAAAGCAACCAAATGCTTTGTGAAGGGCTACTAATATATTTCTGCATTTGAAAGTGAGGGGTTCCTCAGTCAAGGGGAGCAGCTTTTGCTGGCGAGGAAACAAAGTCAGATGATGAGAGCATGCAAACGTAGGAAACAAGAAAATAAAAGTCAGATTTATTGGCTTCTTACTGTGTCAAGATTAAGAAAATGGTAGTAGTGGTGAAGATATGTAGAATTTAGACTTCCTATGACATTAGCTGGATACTTGGTTTAGTTACACTGACTAGAGCAGTGGTGAAAGCTTTCTGAAGGATCAGGTGGTGGGGAAGTGAAAGGCATGGACAAGAATCATTCAAGTTGAAGAAACTGTGTACTCCTGTCATCCAAGTATGTTGGTCATAATGTTTTGTGGGAATTTTTTAAAGTGACAAAACTTATCATCTTAACTTGCAAGTAACAAGGCAGTTGAATAGATTCATAATTCTAAAACAATGAGAAAGCATGTGTTGTGTCAGTGGAAGTAATTTGTAATCTCTACTTCACAGATACAGTTTATGTAGAGCCGCCAAAGCAGCAAGATGCGAGAACAACCAAATACTGGTAAAAAAAAAAAAAAAGACTGATTTTCAATCTTTCCACGATGTATTCCTGAACAGGGCAACTGTTTCTTCCCTGTATAATACAATATTATTTTGAATTGCAATGCTTTAGAGATTCTTGTTTATAACAGTCACTGCAGTGTGAAGTCATGTTTGTTCACTGATTTTTCTTAAACTGCTCAGCAGAAAACTGTATTTTCTTGAGGTTGACTGAGAAGGTGCAGGCGGGGTTATCATCTTCAAAGCTGAGAAGAAGGGTTACGTGATTGCTCTACAGCCTTATTCATCAATGGATTACCTTAGGAACTTAACTGAGGATGTCAAAGTTATTTATTTTCTCCATAAATTATGTGGCTGTTGTAACCAAGACACAACACAAATGAAGTTGAGCAATAAAATTTTTATATGCTCTAATAAATACTCTGATAGAGCAATGCTTGCATTATCATAAGGCCAATATTGTGTGAAATCAGACAGCTTTTTCACATTAGAATAGCTTAGAGTAATTTGCAAACTTTATAATGTGAGTTTGAAATGCTGTGAATCAACAAGATATATACATATTACACACACACACACACACATATATATATATATAATAAAAATAATAAATTGCTCCATCGGTATGTCAGTGTTACATGGCTAGTTGAAAGAGCCAGGCTCTGATAGGGGCTGGAAGTCTGTTACGGAGCAGGGGAAAGCAGTATGTTACAGAACAGCAAGTGCAGCCTCCAACAGATGACAGTAGCCGCACTTCCATCGAGTGTTGTCTCTGCAGATGGCGTCTTTCACAGCTCGAGGAAGAGCAGCTTTGGGAGCCAGTAAATGTAGGTATCCCCAGCAGCAGCGTATGGGAGCAATTTGAAAAACATTGTTGCTAACTGCGAAAGAGGCAAGAGATCCAAATTTTTTTTTTTTTTAAAGTCCATTGGGTCAAAAGAAGCAAACTGCAATAGTGCTGACACTTGTGAACTGGCAACTATATTGAAATTATCCAGCTGTAGAGAATAGCTTGTGCTGCTTTTTTGAAATAAGAACCTAGTTGTAAACCATATAAAAGTAATTATTTTTAAATGTGTAAATATGTGCAAACTTTTAGATAATCTTTTCTTTAATGCTACAGTAATCTTCTCTGTAGTAATTTCAAGGTAAAAATGCTATGTTAAGGAATCCAGGCTCTTTTTGAGAGGAAAATCTTTTAAATCTACTAATTTGAGGTACGCTATTCATGATGTGTCAGTGTACAGACCTCTGGCACATCTTTTGTACCTAACAATATTCCTCCAGAACTGAAATTGGCTAAGAAAATGCCTTACCTTGTATTTTTCAATGTCTGATAAAAAATGATAGCATTAAAAAAAAAAAAAAAAATTAATAACAAGTAAATGGGGGCAACCTTTCTTCCAGAAGTTTTGTGGCAGAATACAGTGAGAAGCTTTCCTGTAAAATGACTTCTACTAATAATTAATATTAAAGCTGAATTTTTGAAAAATTATTATTTTCTATTGTTACAATAAATAGATCTCCAGAGTAGCACGTCTTTTTATCTTTTGGGGAGTCTGTAATTGCAGAAATATCTCTGACTCTCACTATAAATGCAAATAGGCCTGAGAATCTTGTCAAACTGTCTTGTAGAGAACTTCTAAAATACAGCACTTTCTTCATAGTGGGAACAAGCCTTCTCTTTTCTGTCCAAAGAGTGCAAAAGTAGTATTTCTTAACCCTTTGGAAATATTTTTTGCCAAATGAAATGACTAAAAAGAAACAAAAAAACAACCCCTAACCCTTGGAATCTGTAACCACTAACTTCCCGGGAAATGTAACCTTGCTGAAATTTAAAACTCAGATTTTCTGAATGTGTATTGATTTTTAAATTGCTATATACTAGTCCAAATTCTTTTAACGTTCAAGTTTGAATTACAAAGGGCTTCAAGCTTTAATCCACCTTTACTGGGTTGAACAATTGTACAATTTTAAGCCAATGAGTTTTTCAGTGCCTATAGTTACCCTCCACATGATGAGGGAATAGATGCCATTTAGAATGGGTCATTGTGTTGAGGGGACTGTTTATTTCAGAAATAGTGAATTCCATTGATTTATTCAGCATTGAAAAGTCTTGAGTTTAAATTAGATCAGTAGGTGTAGTAATAAATGTCTGGGCATTAATGGAAGAGCTGAGGGTGCTCCAAGCAGGCAGTTTCTTGCACTGGAAGCTGTTAGGTCTCTTTCTCATACTGAGTTGTACAAGTAATAATCCATTATTTTATTAAAATATGCAAATAAATGCCTGACAAACAGTATATATTTGTTATAAATTTATTGCAGAGCATTCTGAATATCTGGAATGTACTTCACTCTGAAATGGTTTTAGTACTAGGTACAGTTTGCACTACTTCTGATTTGCTCGGGATTTTTTAATGGCTCTTTGGTATGCTTTCTTGTAGCAAAGCTGTCTGATACCAATTTATTTAGTATTAAAAAAGGCGAAACAGCCACCAAGTAAATCCTAAAAACTTTATAAGCTACCTTCTTTTTAGTCTTGTTCAGAATGTTTGATACATGAAAACATGGCTTTCAGATTTATCCTTGTGAAGAAAAGACTGCTTTACACTTCTCTCTGCACAAAAGTGCACAGGACTGCTTTTTGCCAACCTCTTCCTTGTGCACGTATTGGAACGCATAAAATGGCAGAGTACTGTGTTTTAAATACCGTAGCTCATACATTAGAAGTAAAAACCAAGGACTTGGGATGATGTCAGGCTTTTATGGCTCAGAACTTGTTCTCCAAAAAAACACTTTGAAGACAAAAGTTGCTCTCGAGGGTGACTGTAATAGCCTGCAAGAGTTGCAAATATTAGTTGTGATGAGTAAAACACTGAAGTGAGATGTATATAAATGTGACTTTCCCTTTTGTTCCTTCCAACTTGTTTGATCAGAATCCTGTTCTGAGTACTTCAGAAAGCAGATGACTAAGAAGTCACTCCATGTTTGTCTGAACAAGGAGGAAGACTTGAAGTATGTCATGCGCTTTGCATTATTGTACTTTAGTGGGTCATTCAAGCCTAACTGTTGGGACTTCATGCTGCTACAGGGAGGCTCTCTTTCATGGGGTATACCATAAGATAACTTCTGGGGGAATTTGGAAAGGTTGATTGTATTAGGCCTGTGGGACTTGAAAGTGTACCTCTTTTTAAATAACTGGGGTTTTCTAATGTTCTCTAGATATAGTTTTGACTTTGCCTCCAAGAAGTTTTATTGATATTTTTTTTTAATATTGGACATGTACTAGAGGAATCTCAGTTCTGTGCACATAGTGGTGGAATACCTGTAGGTAAAAATAACAAAAGGACTTTTGTTTAAAAAAACACACACGCACACACACAAAAAAACAACAACAAAAAGACTTCTGACTACAAGATTGAATACAGGGTGTATCCCCATCTGGTTTTTTTTTTTTTTGACATGTGGCAGGGAGGGTGGGGTTACAAATAGAATAGTACGCACTGTGGATCGGTGCTTAATTTGTACATAAAAAGGAAAACTTCGTTTTGGGTAGTTTGTATTGTAAGGACAACATCTAAAGGCACTGTGTATCAGTCATTTATTTCCATTTAAAAGATTATATTTTTGAGCAATGGAAACTGTACATGTTATCATTTATACATTACTGATAGCTAGGAATATAGAAAACCTGTTGCTATTACTCTGAAGATGTATCTGACTTATTGATATATACATCACTGCATCACTACTTTATGCAGATTCTCATGCTCATTTATTTAAAGAGATTGTAGTAACTGGTAGAGTTACAACAGGAATTGTAACATCAAATCTTTCAGTATCTCAAATGTGTATCCTTGTGATTAATCCTTTACCAAATGTTTGGCTGGAATTTCATTTTGGAGAAATGACAAAATAGGTGCTGGAACAGATTTCCCTCACCCCAACCCACGCTTTATTTATTTAATAGGTTTTGTTTTGTATGTTATGTTTTCCCCATAACAGGTTTGTGCCTTTTATTGGATATTTATTTAAAAGGAGCTACTATAATTTAGGTTAAGAGGCTTTTTTTCAGATGTATTCTTGTACAGCTCTTCCTTTACATGAGTTCCTTCATTTTATAAGAATACAGAATGTGTGGAAAATATACTAGCCACAAACTGGAAAAAAAATTTTGAGGGTTTATGTTCTAGGAATTAATAATTTTTTAAAAAGAAGCCTAAGCACAAGATTGGCTGTGTTGATATTTTAATTGTGGAACTTCACACTTTGTTAATACACAAACTGTTTGTTTTTTAAAAACTGCTCATATCCAATTATTTGATGAAACAAGTTTTGGAAAAAAATAAACTTTGGCACATGCAAGGTCTGTGTGTATGTGATCATTATTCCGTGTGTTCTCAGGCTTAAGCCTTTCTATAATACAAATGGCAACAGCTGAATTAGAATGCTTGACTGGTTTGTTACTCTTCTGCATTTACACTTGATCTGGTATTATGCCTTATTCAAATTATTAGTGTAGCTTAACTGCATCAGCTGACAAGTCTTCCTTTGATCCAGTTTTCCTTTGGGAAGTAGGGGCTGGTTTTTCCTGTGCAGGGTACTTGGGTTTGATTGAGTGGGTGGTGGGGAGGGGAAGGGACAAAGCTCTTTGTATCATAGGGGGCTGGGGTGGGTTCTCTTGGGGCTTGTCTCACTGCATCCACGTGAGAAATAGGCCTTAACTAACACAAAGTTAAATAAAATCACATGATTTTGCACCCGGAAGCGTGAGGGCTGTTCTCATAGGATACATGTTACCATGTCAAAAATCTCAAGATGTGAACAGCATGAAAATGTTGAAGTGGGGGGTGTTCAGTGCTTGTAGCTGCTCATGGGCCTTCTGATGCCGGGGGGTGGGCATGCACACACACGGTTTGCAGAGGTGTTTTAGGTCTGGTTTGGATTAATTCCCCAACCAGTCCCCGATTCAGCACCCTGCTCAGGGCCTGGGAAAGACATGCTAATACGTTCTACCTTTGCAGATGTTTCTTACTCAACTAGGAGCCTCAACACCTGATGTTTTTAGTAGCTGCTTTTTTTCTTCCATCTAGCTCTAGCGATCTGATTTCAGGGAGGAGTTTGAACTATTTAATAGCTCATCCTTGCTCTGTCCGCGCCAGCTTTATGCTCCCTCTGGCTCATGGAGCAGGAGGGGCTGAGGTGAGGTTGTGTGTCTGCCAGGGCTGCGGGGAGCTGGCCCCGCCCCTCCCGCACAGGCACCACAGCCTGAGGCCGTGGGCTGGTAGAAATTTAAACGTATAAATACGGGGCGAGCTTTATTTCTGATCCTTTAGAAACGCTGATTGTAAATTATCAGATTAAAAACTCTCGCCTCGGCCCGCGGTGCCGCTCTCCGGCGCGGCTGGAGCGCTGAGGGCCGGGCCCCGCCCCCTGCCACAGCCCGCCAATGGGAGCCTCTTGGGGGCAGCCATCGCCCCGCCCACCCCGCTGGTCCCCGCTCACGCGTCATGGCGTGCCTCAAAGCCTGACAGCCAATGGACGGCGTCGCGCTTGGCGCTGACGTGATGACGCACCGCTCCGGCGTCCCGGCGAAGGCCGCGCACGCACTGTCCCGTTCCCCAAGATGGCGGCGGCCACCAGCAGCGAGACGGGGTGCGGCGAGGTGGCGGCGGGCGAGAAGCGCGGCCCCCTGGGCATCCCCGAGGCGGTCTTCGTGGTGAGAGGCGGCTCCGCGCCGCGGCGGGGGGCCGGGGGGCGGGGAAAAAGGGGGAAGAGCTGCGCTTTGGCAGCCGGGCCCGTCCCCGGTGAGACGGCACCGGCGCCGCGGCCTGGCGGGCGGCGCCTGAGGGAGCGCGGGCGGCGGGGCGGCCCCTCCCGGCCCGCCCCGCTGGGCTGCGGGGGCTGAGCGGCAGCTGCCGGCCCGGCCCCGCCGAGGTGAGGGAGCTGAGACGCGCCCCGGCCCGGCCCCGCCGCTCCCCGGGGCCGCCCGCGCCCAGCGCCTCGGGTTCGTCCCGCCCAGCCCGGCCCGGCCCTGCCCGCGCTCTCGGCCTGAGACCGCCCCGTACCGGAACGCTCCTCTCCCCACCCCCAAACCGGGCAGGGCGCTGTTCCCCGGAAAGCGGGGGGTGCCTTAGTCCTGAGGATTGCCACGGGGTGAGTTGCTTTGTTTAGAGTCTGGCTTGGCGTTATTAAGCATTAATACACTTTACAGGAAACTCAGATCCCCGTTTTAAGCATTATCATTTTATTTCACTGGCCAACCCACGTGCCAGTGAGGAGCATGTTATGATTGAACCCTTCTCTCATACATACTAAGCTGTGGTCCCATACAGTGGCTCCTGCACGGAGCACAGCGTTGCCGCTTCTGTTTCATCTCAGCGCCTTACAGCACCCCTAGCACCTTGTCCTGCATCTTCCTCTCATAATCTAGTTCTTGACTTGAGCAGAATCCCTCAGCAGAAGTGGCTGTGGTGTCCAGCCAGGTTTCCTGATTTCTCTAAACCCAACAAACGTGTATCTTTTGTAAAACAGGCAGAACTTGTTTATCCAACTTCAAAAAGTGATTTACCAAGCATTTAATAATTCTGTTGACTGGTCGAAAAGAAGAATTCATTGACTTACACAGTGACAAAATGTGAAAATTATCTGTTATTCACTTTTTGCTATAAGCTAGCTCTCAGTGTCCTGTCTTGATTGCTGCTTTATTTTGTTTGATCAATAAGCACTGATCACGCTGGCTCTACCTGACTGCCTTGGTGTCATCTTGAAACCCTTGGATGTCTGCCCCGAATGCAATGTTTATCATGCTGCTTTAATACAGAGATTTTCTTGGACATTGAAAATGCATTATTTCTCAGATCTATCTCGGTATCTTTACCAGAGTTGTTTGGACTGATCAGGTATGACTGCTCTTATAGAAATAAATTGATTTGACTTAAATTTTGGTATTTCTAGGTGTAGTGCTTGTATTGCTTAACATGTCTTGGTAGGACGTAGGTCCTGAACAAACAGGTGCAGTAAGCTTGCTTTCAGTGCATCCAGATCCTACTTTTTCTTTAAGGTTCTTTAACAGTTACTGGGGTCTGGCAAATCTTACTGGGATGTAAAACCACTGCTGCCTGCGGTGAACTTCCTTCCATCCCCGTAGGGGTGACTAACATCCACCCAAGTGAAAGGAAAGGGCCATGGCTGCAGCTGCCCTATGTGACCTCGGTCATCATGACAGAGGAGAACTTCTGGTCTGTGTTGACTCTTCAGTGGCCACCCTGGCAGGGCGCGGGAGATAACCAGCCTCAGCAAACACCCAGGGCGTCTGCCATGTCCCTCGAGTTGGTGCTGGTAGCTGTGGATGAAGTTCATGGTCGGTTCCACACTGTTCCGTTTTGATACCTGCATCTGAAGTATCTCACGCGCTGTACCATGCGACCTGGGAGAGTTCGGGGGGTTGTGGCTTACTCCTGTCCTGTTCTTCATAACCATATGTCTGGATCTAAAACCCACTGAAGTTTCCTAATTCTTAGTTTTGAGAGGTGCTCTGGTCAAACACAGATGTGTCTGTAGAAAAGCTTCTTAATGATGATCTTAGAGTGCTCAGATATAGATGTTCAGATAGACTTTTTTATTCAAAATAAGCATACGCTAAGAAGTTTTTAATGGTATTCTGCTCCAGAAAGTGAAAATACTAGTGTCTTGAGGCTGTTTTTTATTACAGGCTTTTTCTTCAGAAAATAAATTTCTGTTTCAAGAACCTTGCATACTCTTATGATGATAAAGGCTTCCTGATCACTTGCTTGACGTTCCCCCTCCCTCACTTGCTACATGGACAGTCTTACTTTGAATCTTGTCTTCAGAAATGTTTTCTTTAAATGTCTTGATTCAGTAAAGGCTCTCCAACAGTTTATGGCAGACACCTTTTCTTAGGCTTTGATCTGTGGATTCTTGTGCCTCTCCAGGCTTCAGGTGGCATTAAGCACTAACTCAAGGTTTCACTGGAGTTTAAAAACCACTGCAGATAGAACTTTCAACAGTTTTCTTTTGAGCTGTTGTCCAGATGTTTCCAAATAAAATGCCTTCCTTATTCTGCCTGCCTTAGCACACATGTGAGTGGGAGGCCAGGGGATGCAAAGCTGACAATGTGTCTCTTACTGTGTTCTCTGTATATACCCATAGGCGATCATCACTCTCCACAGAAGCAGAGCGAGTGCCTGCAGCTCTGTATTTGTGTCATCACTTGAAAGATAAACATAAGGCCGCATGGGAGCGTGCTATCCTGCTCTATTTCAGGGCTTTTCCAGAGTTCGTGTGGCTTGACTTGAAGTTTGCAAAGACCGTGTTGCCTTTACAGTACACAACAGTGGTGTTTGGACAGTGAATTTTCTTCCTAGAAAGATAGAGATGAGTTTTGGCAGTTCCTTGCAGAACCTGTAAGGTAATTCTGCAGTTAAGATGCTGCGTGACACCCCAGGAAACAGGGAGCCTGATAGCTCTGGCACCCAGCTCTGCTGCAGAGCTGTTCTCTTCAATCTCAGAGAAGTGACTGTGTCTCAGCCTTGTGGTTGGGTGAGATGGGCCAAAAGCCCAACCAGCAGGACTTGGAAGTTGCAGTTGGAAAACCTGAGTGGTAAATCTGAGCCCACCATGGGCTGGGGCATTATGTAGTGGGAGGAGATCGCCAGTGTACAGGGGGCCTGGATTCACTTCTCAGCATCTTTGTTTCAGGAGGACTTGGGTTCTCTCTTGTCTGTCGGTACAAACAGGCATTAGCTGAGGCAGAGGTGGGGTGCTCAGCAGTGTGTGGGGTGAGTTATTGCCTGCCAGCTTTTTCCTTTGTGTCTTGGGTGATTTACATGGACAGAATAGCTTCCACAAGAGGGAGTTTCATTTCAGAACATCCTCAGGCCTCGCTTCTGCAACACTTGCCTGAATCTAATCCTTGGGGTTTTTTGTAAAAGCTTCTCTACAGGCTTCAGCAGGAGGCAGGAATGCTGCTGCTTCTGTTGTTGCTGAGGTAGCTTAAGGCATTCCTCGGGCAGTTAGTCTGAAATGCGGTCTCTTGGGTCCTGTTGTACCACCTACATCATGCTGCCTGCTGAAATCTGATGTGGAGTTCATATTTCTGCCACAGATTTCCTTAATGATAAGGAAGGCGGGTGACTTCGTGCCAGGTTCAGTAATTTCACAATAAGTTTTTTTTACTCCAAGAAAGTTTAGGAGTCCTAATGAGGGGAACCAACGATATGTCTGATATTACTTTAGTAATGTGTTACAGTCTTTTTCTGATGTGAAACTACTGGAATGGAAACACCTAGTTAAAAAGGCGAAGCTGAAGAGGCCTGTGATAGGTTTCCATCAGGTGTTACAGA